CCATCAATAATAGACTGGATAAAGACAATGTGGAAAATATATACCATGGAATATTATGCAGCCATTGAAAAGTTGAGATAATATCCTTTCCAGGGACATAAATGGAGCTGGAGGCCATTCTCATTAGCAAACTAAGCCAGAAACATAAAACCAAATACCACATATTCTCACTTATAAGTGGGAGCTAAAGGATGAGAACACATGGACATGTAAAGGGGAACAACACACACTGGGGCCTATTGGATGGTAAAGGTCAGAAGGAGGGAGAGGATCAGTAAAAATAACTAATGCACGCTGGGATTAATAACCGAGTGATGAAATTATCTGTACAACAAACCCCGTGACACACGTTTACCTATGTAACAAGCCTGCACATCCTGCACATGTACCCCTGAACTTAAAAGTCAAAAAAGTCACACATGGAAATGAAAAAGTAAATGCATATTTCAAAATTGCTAAAAGAATAGCTTTTTAACTTTCTTACCACAAAAAAGTGATAAGTGGGTGAGGTGATGGTTATTAGTTTGAATCTTTCTACAATGTTGATGTAGATCAAAAAACATTGTTTTGTACTCCATATACACAATTTTTGTCAATTAAAAATGAACAAATTTTTAAAAAGAAAAAGTGATATTGCAAGGCAAGATCCCTGATGAACATAGGTGCAAATAACTTCATCAAACTATTAGCAAACTGAATGCAACAGTTCATTAAATGATCATGTACTATGACCAAGTGGGAGTTATCCCTAAGATGCAAGGATGGTTCAACATATGCAGATCAAATAATGAGATGCACCACATGAACTGAGAAGTATTCAAATCACATGTTCATCAAAATAGATGCAGAAGACGCTTCATGATATCAATCTTGACAATGATTTCTTGCAAATGAATCCAAAATTCAAATGAAAGCAAAAAATCGACAAGCCGGACCATATCAAACTAAAAAGCTTTGGACAAAAAAAGGAAGCAATGAAGAGGGTGAAAAAGTAACCTGCAGAATGTGAGAAAATATTTGCAAAGCATATATCTAATAAGTGGTTAATATCCAAATTATATAAGGAACTCCTACATTTAAGAAGGTATATAAATAGCCAACGGGTACATGAAAAAATGCTCAATATTACTAATCATCAGAAAATTCAAATACTGAAATGAGGACTAGGTATGGTGGCTCATGCCTGTAATCCCAGCACTTTAGGAGGCCAAGGCAGGTGGATCACGAGGTCAGGACATCGAGAGCATCCTGGCCAACATGATGAAATTCTCTCTCTACTAAAAATACAAAAAATTAGCTGGGCACGGTGGTATGTGCCTGTAATCTCAGCTACTTGGGAGGATGAGGCAGGAGAATTGTTTGAACCAGGAAGTTAGAGGTTGCATTTGGCCAAGATGGTGCCACTGCACTCCAACCTGGTGACAGAGTGAGATGCCATCTAAAACAAACAAACAAACAAACAAACAAACAAACTGTAATGAGATGTCATCTCACACCTGCTAGGATGGCTATTATCAAAAAGAAAGACAAAAACCACCCAAACCAAAAGATAATAGGTGTTGGTAAGGATATGGAGAAATTAGAACCCTTGTATATTGTTAGAATGTAAAATCATGTAGCTGCCATAGAAAACAGTATGAAAGATCCTGAAAAAGTTTAAAATATAACTACCATATGATCTAGTAATGCCACATCTGAGCATATTTAAAAGATTTGAACTGAGGATCTCAGAGTCCACACTTCCATGTTCATTTCAACACTATTTACTATATCCAAATATGTAAACAACCTAAATGTCTATTGATGAATGATAGAATAAAAAAAGTATTTGTACACACACACACAATTTCAGCTTTATAAAAAAAGAAATCCTGCCATATGCAACAATTTGAATGAACCTGGAGATATTTATGTTAAGAGAAGTCACAGAAAAATTACTGCGTAATTCTATTTCTATGAGGTATCTAAAATAGTCAAACTCACGGAAACAGGGAGAAGAATGGTGATTGCCATGGCATGAAGAGAGAATTTCTATTTAACAGGAATAAAGTTTCAATTATGCAAGATGAAAAAGTTCTAGAGACTTGTTGTAGCACTTTGTGCCTATAGTTAACAATATATATAGTATACTTAAAAATTTAGTTAAGTGGGTAGATCTCCTTGTGTCCTTAACACAATAATTAAAATTAGAAAAGGTGAAAAAAAGGATACTACTTTTATTAGCTTTTTTTCCCTGTGGAATAAATGAGTTCGTAACAAAGCATCTAGTACCTACTCCTACATAGCAGGTGTTAACTTATTGAAATGTTGGTCATGTTTTTTTCAGAGAAGAGTGGAAAGAAATTTTAAATCATTCAGAAAAGGCCAGAAAATAAAAGCTATACTTAGATTGCAAGATGAAATACTGGGAGAATGATAGGGGATATGAGTTTTTGATGCTTCTAAATAAGTAGCTCTTTCCTTACAGTAGTGGTGATGGTATCAACCCATGTTATTTTACTTCCTGCAATAGCAATGTTGTGAGAATAACATTAGCAAGCAAAAAAATTAAAGCCAGTTGGGCTGTGGCTGTTTTATTCATGTTCATACTGTTCTTTCTAGGTGTGTTTAATTTATTCTATGCAAGAAAGACTGAGGAATCACTTGTGTGTGCTTATATGTTACATATATGTGTATATAATGCTTAAGTTGAGAAAAGTAAATAGAAAAATCAGGGTACACTTTATGAAATGTAAAATGGAACATGAGATTTAAAAATCTTTTAAAAACCTGCATTTGGAAATGTCAGGATAAATAATATAGTATTTGCTAAATTTTTATATACTTTTGAATAGCCAATCATGCACACTAATGACATTTTGATACATGTACCTCTGTCTTCTTAAATGCTAAACCAGTACTTGAAATGATTGTCTTTTGTAATTCTATCCTTTATTCTCCGAAGGTCTCTTTTTGTATAGGTGGTACCACAACCAGAGTACTTCAGTTATTGACAAGAAACTCCAGAGTTAGATTCCTTTATCTCTTGCAACTCGCAAGCAATAATATAGATTCCACCCGCTAAAATGTTTTAATGGAAAATAGCCCCTATTCTCCACTGCCATGCAGGACTAATTTGGAGACAAAGTGTGGTCCAGATGGCACATGAAGGAGGGTCTGAAATAGTCTGGTCTTTCCCTAGTTATTCTGTGCATCACCGCTAGATTAATTTTTTTTTTAAAGCTCAGTCTCAGGTGCTAGAAAAAGCAATTCTGGAGTTAGATCCATAATGAAACTACTTTTTAGCAGTCAAACCATGTGCAAATAAGATAATTTTTCTGAAAGGTTAAATGAGGATACTATGTCTCAGATTTATTATAAAATTTGACTATCATTACGTTTGAAGTATTTTACACAAAATCTGACATATCATGGAGTCTTAATAAACATCAGTGTCCTGCTTACATGGTCTTTCCTGCTCAACATATATTAATTAAACACCAGCTGCTACTAAAAAAGGCCTAACATGGCTTTTTATATTTGCTCTCAAGCAAGTCAAACTTCAACTTTTACTGTTACTCCAAAACTTAAGTTTCTTCAGAACTGAATGGATTGCTATCCCTCCTGAATTACTGCCTCTTTTATCAACACAATGCATTTGCTCACTCATTTCTGTTTCCCTCCATGTGGATTAGCCATTCTTTTTGCTTCCCAGTTGCTACCTGTCTTCTTACCCATCTTCCAAAGCCTTCTCAATTGTCACATATTTCATAAACCATTCTACAGCAGCATCTATTTTTTCATCTGACTGTCATTTTTTTTGTTCTTGTTAATTTTTTCTTATTGTATTTATCATTATCTCCTATTATAGTATTGGGGGATAGAGCATAGTAGAGAGTCAAAAGTATCAGAGCACAAGATACATTGAATTTACTACTGACTCTATCTAACCTTCACCATATTCTAGATGTATGACCTTGGGTAAGTCACTTAATCTCTCTGTGCCTTTCTTTGTTTATGAAAGAGACTCTGTAACAACACCTTTTATGATTGGTGTTATGGGTTGAATTGTGTGCCCCAAGAAGGAATGTTGAAGTCCTAACCCTTAGCACTTCAGAATGTGACCTTATTAGAAAATAGTGTCATTGCAGATGTAATTAAGATGAAGTCATACTGGAGTGGAGTGGGCAATTAATTCGGTGTGACTGGCATCCTTACTAGTAGAGGAGACAGGCACACAGAGGGAAAATGGCATGTCACTACGAAGGGAGAGAGTTCTGTTGCCATAGACCAAGGAATACTTGGGCTTCCAGAACCTGGAAGATGCAATAAAAGATACTTCCTTAAAGGATTTAAAGAGAACGCGGACTCACTGACACTTTGAATTTGGACTTCTAACCTCCAAAAGTATGAGAGAATACATTTATCTTGTTTTAAGCCATTAGGTTTGTATTATCCTGTTCTGGTAGGTCAAAGAAACTAATACAGTTCATGTGAAGATTAATTAAGCAAAAATTTCAGAAGATTGCCTAAATTACAGTATTCAATAAATATTCATTCTCATTACCTGCATTATTTTTTCTGCTATGATATAAACTCCTTGAGCTCAGGAACCATATCTTATGTTGGTCTCTTCCTAAGCTCCAACGCAATACATATGCCACAGAATAAAATAAATATTTATAAAATATGTTTTGAATAGTGTATTGATTTTTCTTATTTATTCAATCCTCTATAGGAAACATTGGAAAAAACAGAATAGTTGATACATTGCTCAAAACCTATGCGTTTAACCTAAATCATAGGTTAGCCAGCACCTATTATTTAGAAAATTGTTTTCTGTGCAAAAATGAATGGGATTAAAAATATTTGTAATTGTATACTAGTCAAGTATTTGAAAAATAAATGAAGTCCTAATGAAACTAATCATGAATTGATATCAAATTAAACTTTACATGATCTTTTTTGGAAAAAAATTGTTCATCCCTTTTATTGCAATGAAAAATACTTGAAATACTTATCTTCTTTTTCTGTTGGTTGAAGTTATCTATGATGACACCAATGAACAAGTTCAAAGTGAAGAATGACCCAAAGATGATAAAGATGACAAAATAAATATACATGTAGAGGCTGTATTCGTATTCAGGCTGCTTGTCTACCTATAAAATTTATAAAAGTTAGTATTATATAGACAATAACATTCATCATTTTCTTTTCACATGGTTTGACAAGGTAATTCAAACAGTGCTATCCTAGGTAAACATAGGATTTAAGAAGCCATAGCACCGTTGAGACTTAATATAATCATTCTTAAAAAATTATTCAATATGTATTTATTACATACTTATATAATGAATATAATCTTCAAATGATTACAAAGGGCTTAATTATATGTACACTTGTCTTTATATTGGTAGGACAATTTAATAACTAAGTGACATACTACGTATATTTCCACAAGTACTATAAAAGAGACATCATACAAAGTTTGCCATGTATTTTCACTTGATTCCAAATATGTCTTTATTAGATTTTGTAAAAATATGACATAGAGAGTAATCATTAAAGTTTCTTACCATGGAACTTATTTCACATAAACTCATCCAAGCTTTAAATGTAAAAAGAGTAAAAACTATACATATATAAATGTAAAAGTAAAAACTATAATTATTAAAATTATTTTAATTTTGATAAGTGAATATTTACTGAGCATTTAGTATTGCCAGCCCATGTTAAGTGCTCTGCTCGTATTTTTTTGTTGGATCCTCACAGCAACACTATGGGGTAGACATTTGATGATAATAGACATTTATTAGACAAATTATGGATTCATTAAATTATAGATTAGACAAATAAACTAAGTCTCAAGAAGGTAAAGTAATTTGCCCAAAGTCAGTTCCAGAGCTTGGATGATGTGGTACAGCTAGAATTTGAATTGGGCTCTCTCTCCAATTGCTGTACTCATAACCACTAGGCTACTATCAGGTGGATGCTCTGCATTGTTTGTGTGTGTCTCAAGGGCTTCATGAAGCTGTTGTTTGGAAATCACTGAAATAAACTAAGAAGCTTTCAGAAACAAAGTTTAGTGTTATGATAATCAATACTTACATTAACAGAATCCACTGCTGCATACATAATAATTGTCCATCCCTTAAACGTTGCCTATAAGAATAACATTAATAGAACCTGAATGTTAAGCTTATATTCTAAAATAGCAATAAACATAGTTTTGTCTGTTTTATGTTACCACAGTTATTAAGTAATACTAGTAAGTTTTGCTGTATTCAAAATGTCAATTTAATATAAAGATTAAAAAAAAAAACATATTCCCAAGTAACATTCTAAATCTTAGTCCTAGTTAATTATTTCCAAATTGTTACAATTGCCTGTGAATTTTGCACATAAACCGAAAAATTTTTCTAAATAAGACAGGAAACCCCTTTTTTCCATTTCTTAAGCATTCTCCGTGTCAGTAGAAAGTTCCTCTCGTCCCTCCATAGTGTGAAGCAGGACGTGCCCAAATACTCATTTTTGAAACAATATTTGAATGGTGCAAGATGGGAGTCTACATGACACCAAAGAGTCAATTATAAATTAATAACTCAAATGCAACAGAACCTATGCTTCTTATTTATGTAGGAACATGTTCTAGGAAAGACGAACACTTTTTTTTTTTTTTTTTTTTTGAGATGGAGTCTCTCACTGTCGCCCCAGCTGGCGTGTAATGGTGCTATCTCAGCTCACTGCAACCTCTGCCTCCTGGGTTCATGTGATTCTCCTGCCTCAACCTCCTGAGTAGCTGGGATTACAGGCACACACCACCATACCCGGCTAATTTTTTGTATTTTTAGTAGAGATGGAGTTTCACTATGTTGGCCAGACTGGTCTTGAACTCCTGACCTCGCGATCTGCCCACCTCAGCCTCCCAAAGTTCTGGGATATAGGCATGAGCCACTGCACTCAGCCAAGACCAACACTGTTTTAAAAGCCACACAATATTTTATCTTCAATTTTAATTAATAGACTATTTAAAGAATAATTTATATCCTTCATCCAATATCCATTAAAATACCAAATATTCATGAAAGGGGTCACTTACAACTTGAAGCAGAGATAGATAACCAAGTCCGACATTATCAAAGTTCACTTTCAGGTTTTTCCATCGCACATTCTGACTAACATTCATAAGGGCAAAACATTCGGAACGATTTGGAACTTGACTTGCAGGAAACCGTGACCCATCTGTGGTGTTAATACACTCATAGAACTTGCCAGCAAACAAATTTACTCCCATGATGCTGAATATCAGCCAGAATATAAGACACACAAGTAGCACATTCATGATGGAAGGAATTGCTCCTATGAGTGCATTCACAACCACCTAGTATTCAGAAGAAAGAAAAGAATGATTAGGATTTGTGAGGTGTTAAATAGGCCACATAATAGAAATGCAATGCAGACATAAACAAATTAGAAAAGCCACCCTTAAATATCTAAGACATCAAACCAACTGACATGTTTATTAAATGCCTACCCTACACTCAGCAGTGTGCCAATCAAGATAAAATGAGACATGAGCTCTGTGATCACAAGGCTTACAAATTACATGATTATCACACAGTACAATTATTAGCAAAATGTAAGACAAAATAACCAAGATGCTATAATATCTTAAATAAATGTAAAATAAATAAAAATAATAAATCAAAACCTGTTACTGATAAAGTAAACTTGTAAGATCTGTACACTCTGGGAAAAAAATTCATAAATATAAATGAAAAATATATATGTATACACATCTAAATGTTCATGATCTTAGAATTATTACCAGCATTAAAGATTCCCCCATAGAGAAACTATTGGTAAATATCAGGTGGAATTACAACCGAATGTCATTTTAATTCTTTTTCTTTTCTTATCCTTTTTTTTTTTTTTTTTTTTTTTTGAGACATTCTTCTTTACAAAAGGATTGGAAGTCTTTAAATGGTTTGAATCCTTTAGATTTGGCTGCTTCTACAAAATAAGAGCAACCTTTTTGAATTTATTATTATTACTCTAAAATACTTTATATGTAAGCCTTTGACTAAATACAGATAGTGCTGCCCTCAGTTAAAGCAAAAAATTGGGAACAGTTTTTCTTTAATCCTTTGTTTATTTCTGCTTTTCGGCATTTCTATTGCTATTAACCACCAGTGTGTCTTCGCGCTCCAGTTTTACTCCAGGGCAATTATTGTAGCATTTAACACTTTCCAGATTTTCCCATTTACTTAATCCTTCAACACCTGTCTTCTTACACTGCAGCTCGAGTGCCCATTCAAGTACAAATGTGTTAAAGATTAACCTGTTAGGGAAGTAGCATTGGTATCCTCCTTTTCTGCAATGTATTAAGCAGGTTCTCAAGATGCTTTAAAATGGAGAAATATTAAGGAACTCGGACTACTAATCAGATCATCTAGGGAGAATGTTTGCTAACATTTTTATAAATACTTTCAGGCTTTGTGGGTTATATCTCTATTGGAACTATTCAACTCTGCCCTGGTAGTCATAGATCACACATAAACAAATGGGTATGGCTGTGTTCCAAGAACATTTTCTTTACAAAAACTGGATGGTGTTTGTTGACCTTTGGTTTAGAGCAATAATTATTTGGAGTTCATGGACCTGTAGAGGTTCCCTGAGGGAATGAAATTATATAACAAACATTATGGTTCTGGTCTCATTCTGGAAAGACAATTCTTACTTTCATCAGATTCTTATAGTCTATGTGGCCTCAAAAAAGATTAGGAGGAACAGGAATAGAGAATGAAGTTCAAAGTGGCCAGCTTTTAGCAGAGCCTACTTTTCATGCTCATTTCCTGCTACCCTTCCTGCTGTTTATCACCTAGGCACACTGATCTGTGTAGTCATTGACCAAGCACACCTTGTACGCTCTCTTCTGTGCCACCCAATCATGTGGTATCACTGCCTTGAATGTCTATCTGCCTATGATTTGGGGCTTACTCTTCAGTCATGAAATGTCTGAAATGTCACCTCTTTGTGATGTCTTCCCAGACTTCCCCGGTAGCCACTCCTTCCTGTATACTCTTGTAGCATTATGTACCCTTGTCTGTCTCTCTTGCAACCAATGACCCTACTCACCCTTTGGGGACCAGGGTCTATGTACCACTGTACTCTGTGTTTTTTACAACAGCTGACACATAGTTGGTGTTGAAAATGTTTTTCTAAAAAATGTGAGTAATGATGGAATCATGGGTCTCTGAGAAAGACAAGTACCTATTGGACAGATGAGAAGCCAGTTGGGAAAGCTAAAGAGCCTAAAGACTCAAACAATCTAACTACCATATGCCTTAAATGCATTATTTCATTATTTTATTTATCCTTCAAAATAGCCCTGCAGCATGAAGAAATGTCTCTTTTTGCATGGTTAACGAATGTAGCTAAGCAGACATTTGCCCCTCAAAATATATATTCCCCTGCATCCAATTGTCCTGTATTACAGATAAAGAACAAAGAGCAAACAGAGTGAAATTGTGGGCTGACTTTATCAGTGAAGGAAGTGGTTTTGTAGGGAAAGTTCTGGATAGATTGTAACATTCTATTAATACTCAAAAAATGAAGTTAATGTCAATGAATTCTAATACCACCTTACTGCACAAAATGAAACTTTAAATTTTCAACTTGTAGATAGATATTTGAATTGTGCTCATGAACTTTTTTGTAAAATGATCTCTTTTATATACTTTGAAACCATTATACACTGGATACTGTGAGTCGCAGAGATTGCAGTCATATTTAGTTAGGTTTGTAGGGATAACAGTGAAGAGTTGATAGGCTGAAAGATCTCCAATGTTCACTTGAGGCTGATTAAAACCCAGATTTTTTTATCCTCATCCCAGAGTTTCTGACCCAGTAGGACTGGGGTGAGATCCAAGAATTTGCATTTTTAATAAGTTTGTAGATAATGCTAATAGCTGGTTGGTAAACCACACTGAAAGTATCAGTAAGCTAGGCTAATGTCTGTGTTAAATTGCTCAGAGATTGTAAGGTAAGGAGGCAGGTGAGCAAACAAATAAGTAAAATACAGTATAATGAGGATTTTAGGTGTGTGCACAGACAGAATATTCAGTTATGTCTGCTGGTGGATGGACAAGGCAAATTTAAATTGAGCCTTAAAGGACAGGTAGGTGTTTATCTGCTCTATAGATGGGTTATGGTTAGGGGAGGGCAGGGGGAAGCATTCCAGAACAATAGAGGCATGAAAAAGCAGGTATGAATCTGGAGAAGAAATATTAGAAGAGTAACAACACATGTGGATATGGACTAATTAGAGAAAATAAAGTTGTCTTTCGTATGCGTTACAAAGTTGCTGGTATAATACAATCCTTAAAGCTAGGTTATGGTAGTTGTCATTATTATAACTTGTTTGTCTCTGCTAATTGAATATCTTGTCAGGCACTCTTCAGCCTAAGTGCAAATTAAGTAAACTCTCTGAGCTTTAGTTTCCTCAAATGTAATTTAGTTATAATTCCACTTACTTTGCAGTATTGTTTTAAAGATGAAATTAAATGTGATGGCTGAGGCTATCTCATTTTCCTGTCTTTTCTAATGCTCTTTACCCAGGTAATTCCTTAAACAAATATTATTTGAGCACCTGATATAAGCAGGTCCATGATGACTTATGTATAAGAGATGGTGTCAGGACTAAAAAACTCCCCCTTTCAGTTGAACTTCCTAGCACAGGGAAGATTTCCATCTAAGAAGGAAAAAGTCATTTGGATCATTCTATTGTCTGAAAATACTAGATAAAGGCAGGATTACTGTGATTAGTTTATTCCCTTGTTAAACAATATGCACTGAAATACTGTGCATATATATATATATATATATAGTATGCATATATATACACACTAATATGTACAGTAAATGAAATACTATATATACATATACTATAGATGCATATTTTATATATAACATTTCATATTCTGTATATATCGGTATATACTAGTATATACTAATTAGTATTTTACTATTTTTAGTAATATACTATTTAATAATACTGTAGTAATAATATATATTAGTATGCATATATATACCATTAATATATATAATATGCATATATAATTAGTATATATATCATACATAATATGCATATATATTATTAGTATATATATCATATATATACCATATATATGCATATTTTAAATGTATACTGTATATAGTATATAAATGCATACTATATATAATATATATACATACCATTATATGCATAATATACACACACATATATGCATATGTGTATATGTATATGTATGTACACACACATAAACAGCCCACATATTTATGTAAATAGAAACAACTCATAATTTCTACATACCCATTGTTTTCATATATTATACCCCATTAAAAATAAGAATATTATGTAAAGTTTAGTATTTTCTTACCCTCATTCCTTCAAATCTAGATAAAGCTCTTAGAGGTCTTAAAGCTCTCAGGGTCCGAAGGGATTTAATGGGGCCAAGATCTGAGTAGCCAAGAGTGTTTGCCACTAAAGTAACCAAAGAAACCTATAAAAATAACATTTTCATTAATTGTTTAAACAAAATGGTAAAGCATAAAAAGAAAAAGTCAATTGTGAAACTCATTAAAAGCAACTCAACAGGAACAATAAGATTTTATATATGGAGTTATCTAGTCAATGCCTAAAAATAGGGTAATTGGACATTTCTGTAAGGAAATAGATTTAAAAGAAGGTTAGTTAAGAAGAAATAATGTAAACAAAGTAAGTTGTTTATTTTATTTGAATAGAAGACATCCATATGCTTTTCACACTTTTGTAAACAATTGTTATATATTTACTTATTAAATCTAAAAGATTAATTAGAAAAATAGTCAACATTTTAATTATAAAACTCAGGTCAAAATGAAATGTGTGATTCTAAAGCTAAGCCCTAAAAGTGTGGCATTCACTCAACTAAATCTCTGTCTAAGTCTTATTCAAAAACATTTTGAAGACTCATGATTTTGAGTTGGGACAGATTCTCAGTGAGATTGCTTCTGCCCTACAATTTCTTGGGATTGGCACCAAAGATCTACCAAATAATTTTTCATGGGAGAAAAATCACAATTGTACTGAAGAGAGAATGAGAGCAGCTGATCTCATTGGCTTCACAGTCAATATAGATATAACAGGAACTTCATCATGTTAGATAGATCAGCCACAATTACCATAATCAGTATGCAAAAGAAATTTGAGTTCTTATCGTAAATTATCTTAAGAAAGAGCATGAACAGCAATACAATCAATACACGTTTTAGTTACAAATCAATAAGCTCCTCAATGACCTTAGATCTTGATCTATAAATGCATTTACTCTCTGAATTAGTTCCATGGAAAATATTCATTTGTCTCATATACTGTGTAGCAGGAAATGATGACTAAGAAAAATGTCTGGAATACAGTTCTTCATTACAAATTAAGGTAGTGATTGAGAGATTCAAGCTTTCAAAGGAAGAACAGGAACACATGAGAGCCAACTTTTTTATATTTATCTGTTTCGGGAATAAAAATGTCATTGCTCACACCAAGTTCATTGCTGTTACCATCAGAGACAGGTAAACTTATTTACGAAGCAGGAGGTGTTTTAAAGTGCTTGTCCTCATGAAGTATTTCCAAATGTCTCACTAAACGTAGCATTGCTTTTTCTAATTCCTCAAGCTATATATTTAGTAGAATGATTGCTCCTCATGCCACTATTATATTTGTCCAGCCATTCACTTCCATTATTTTCCACTTAAGAACACTTGAAAATATGTATGCTCCCTCTTTAATCAGAAAAAAAAAATTAAAAATGTTTTGCTGTGGTTTGAATGTTTGTCCCTTCTGAAACTCATGTTGAAACTTAATTCTCAATGTAATGGTATTAAGAAGCAGAGCCTTTAAAAGGTGATGAGGTCATGAAGGCTCTACCTTCATGAACAAAATATGGAGTAAAAGCTTAATGGGTTATCATGAGAGTGAGTGAGTTATCACAAGAATGGGTTTATTATAAAACCCAGTTTGGCTCTCAGTGAACCCCCCTCACCATGTGATATCCTACACTGCCTTGAGACTCTTCAGTGTCCCCACCAGCAAGAAAGTCCTCATTAGATGTAGACCCTCCAGTCTTAGATTTCTCAGCTTCCAGGACTTTAAGAACTAAATTTCTTTATTGAATATATTACCCAGTCTCAGGTATTCAGGTAGACTAAGACAGGTCAGTTATAATTGATACAACCCCTAAAATACTGATAGGTCTGTTATTCAATCAATAATTAAGTGAGTTTTATGACACTGAATATATGTATATTATGAAGAATACTATATATAGTACAGTTTATAACTGACAATATATATGCATATATATTCATATCTTTCTGTGAACATATGTGTATATATACAAATATGTGCCTGTACTGGTGAATACTGTTTAATCAAGTAAGTTTCAAATAACCAAGAGGCCTGCAGAAATCAGAAGAGTCCATTCTCTGAATAGCAAATCATATTAGTGGTTCTGAAACCTGTATATACAACAGAATCGTCTATAGGGTTTGTTACAATTTGCTGCATCCAACCCCAGAGTTTCTGGTTCAGTAGGTCTTGGGGTGGGGGCAGAATTTGCATCTCTCATGAGTTCTCACCTACATTTGCCAGTGTTTTCAGTTTCAAGATCATGCTTCAAGAACGACTGCTGTAAATAAGTTTCTATACTTTTCAGAAAAAAAAATCAGCCACTCCCTCAAATCTGCATCCTGAAATTTGCATCTCTATCAACAAAAATATAATGTAAAGATTTACTCTCTGTGCTTTGCATTATATTTGTTCATTTCCAAAATATTAAATAATATTTCAAATTGGAGTTATCTTTCTGAATTCTGCACATTACATACCCCTGAACAGGAGGTTATACTCATTGAGAATCATCACTTTAAATTTTCAAATATAAAACAATTGCCATTATTGAACAGCCAAATCTCTTATTTTAAAATAAATTAAAATTCACTTGTAAATCTTTATTTCTTATACTGAGTGATAAAAATGAGTATGTTTGTAATAATATTTTTAAGATTTTAAAATATTTTAAATATTGTATAACTTTTTAAAGAGCGAGACCTAGTCATAATTACAGTTTAAGAGAAAAGAAAGGTAACTGATATTCCTTCTATAATTTCTTCTCATTTTGGGATAGGCTTCCTTTAAAACTATTTTATCATTTTCCATTTTCTAGACAGTAACTAGACAACTTGATATATGAAAAGTTAATTGAAAACAAGAAATCATTGCTATATCAAAAGTTAGAATTCTCATAGAGGAGGCCCAAAAGAACACATATGAGGTATAATATACAGCTATGTTAAAAAAATTTTCACATAACTTACATATTACAGAAAACAAGTGTTATGTTTTTAATATTTAATATGTTGTATGATTAAGAAACCAAGTTTTATATATATAAAACATATATAAAATATATATATTTTAATGTTTTATGTAATATATATTATATAAAACTTATATAAATTTATTTTATATAAAACATGTCTATATAGATGTATATGTAATATATATATTATATGTAATATAGATAGAGAGAGAGAGAGAGTCTTGCTCTGCCGCCAGGCTGGAGTGCAGTGGCGCAATCTCGGCTCACTGCAACCACTGCCTAGCAGGTTCAAGCAATTCTCCTGCTTCAGCCTCCTGAGTAGTTGGGATTACAGGCGTCCGCCACCATGCCTCACAACTTTTTTTTGTATTTTTCATTTGAGACAGGGGTTTCAACATGTGGGCCAGGCTGCTCTTGAACTCCTGACCTCAGTTGATCCGCCCACCTTGGCCTCCCAGAGTGCTGGAATTATAGGCACAGGCCACCGCACCTGGCTAGAAGCCAAAAGTTTATGAAGCTTTAAATAATAGTTGAGAAATTGAACTTTTGAGTAAATGTGACTAATTTGGTAACATTGTGCAGTCAGATTTTACTATTTATGGTCATGCTTACTTGTGATTTTCTAATCCATGTATGATGGTGTATGAATTCAACTTTTCTTAAAAGCTCGATAATGCAAAACCTTGGTTAAATTTTAAAGTACTTATTGGAACATAAAAATTTGCATGTTCATCTCTAATTATGTCATGTGTGACATGGAAAACAAATCTTTAAAAACTATAGCTGATTATAGGATGTTTCTTTTCCTAAATATTAAGGTTAGATTTCTGAATCTAGAAGAATTATTAAAAGATAAAAAACATATTATTCTGAGAAAAAATAAGGCTGGGAAATTGAGGTTATAAAATAATGTAAGAAAGCCATTTTACAAAGCCATAATTTTAAAAAGTCATATATATTATTAATGTATATCATTAAAATATAAAATATTAGCGTACATTCAATGAAATGATAATAATGGGTGTTATACCATTAATTTGTTTTTGAGATTCCTTGATCTCACTGACTGTTGTAAGATTTCTTTCCTGCCTACCTCAATCAGAAGCCAGTAAAAATATTCCTGCTTTGTTAAAATAATATGCAAACTAAAGAATTCTTATGTATTTTCCATCATCCAAGTATTCAACAGTTCTTTGAATTTATTATGTAAAATTATTACATTAATAATAATGCCTACTCCTCTGTCCCACTGCCATTCTGGAGATGAAGGGCAAGTTGCATATTTGAGATAGAGACAATTGTGTCTCATGTTGGTTTTTCTTGTAATTGGGTCTGAGATAGATATTTTAAAATTTCATGCCTTCTTCCCCTGCCAAATACAAAGTTAACTTTGCATTTGCCTACAAAGGAATAACAGGAATGACATTCAAATAACATATATGTTTTTTAAAAATCACATCTCCTTTGATTGTAGAAAACATACAAAGTCAATTAATAGTGTTAGAATGGCAAAGAAAAAAATTACATTTGTTTAAGGATTTCTGTTCTAATAATCCTCACAGATATATTTCCACTGGCTGCACTAATATTCCTAAAAGCATAAACCTATAGTCTGAAAGTATATGAAGCTTAACAAAATTAAAATATGATAATACACAATATGGGTGAGGGTTTTTTCACAACACTTAGTAAGAATAAATCCTCTTTTAAAATGTACTCAAAAGTACCTACATCAACAATTAGAAAATCCAGCCAACACCAGGCATTGGTGAAATATGTTTTATAACCATATGCTACCCATTTTAGAAGCATTTCCAGAATGAAAACATAAGTGAAGATCTTGTCTGCATACTCCAGGATAATCTTAATGGTCTTTTTCCTTTCAATATATATATCTTCAAAAGCCTGTGAAAATAATATTCAAGTTTTAATCATGCACAACTGAAGCCTTATGATTCATAAAAAAAAAAAAAAAACAACAAAAAACAGAAAAAATACAATTCTAATGCTAAGACCACTGAAACATAATACTGACATGGGCCAGCTGACTTTTTTCTGGTTTACAATTACCATGTAACGCCTAGTTCTAGCCTTCTCACCAGTGCTGCTGCTCATCATCAGAGGTCAAGAGAAAGTGCAAAAGAATGAAATTATTTATAATCCACAAAAAGACTCATGATGTCTGACATCTGATCATCTCCACCTCCATCTGACTCCTCCTCTTTCTCCATTAAAATTGGATAAGTACTAATAATTTAAGACATCCCATGGCCAGCCCCTGTTATAAACTTGTCACATCCCATACTCTCCTTTGCCCCCACTAGTAGGATGTGAAGCCTCTCTTTCAGCTCTCAAAGGCTTGTGCATCCCAATGCCTAGAACCATGGGAATAACATAGCAGCAGGCAAGGATAGTTTTGCTAAAGTAACTGCAGTAGCTTAATAGGCCCGTGGAACACAGAGGGTGCTTTTTCCTTTGATTATCCATCCATATATTATCATTCAAAGCTTCGGCTGTAAAAATCACTGTTCTATTCTCTCCATGAATGTGGTACGTCTTATGCTTTCCAAGAAATTTTGGTAAGGGACACACAACAATATTACATGACAACATTAGATGAGCTCTATGTGATTTAGGGCTTATGCTTTACTGTTACTAATTTTGGTTATCACTCATTTACTTCTATTTTGTGTATGCTCTTCTTTCTGAGGAGCCGCAACGTAGTGAAAAGACAGGGCGACTTTGTCTTGATACTTCAGCCACATGTCCCTTGACAAAGAATTTGAATGGACTTAAAAACTGGGCTCATTGAGACACTGAAAATGACTGCTGATCTTAACAGTTCTAAAGTATTTGAATTTTCTCTTTCAGATTGAAACACTAATAACCCTGTTGGATAAAATGAAAGCCAAAGACCTGTGTCCTTTGTGGTTTATGTTACATTTATTACCTGTCTATGTTCATGGACTTGTGCCACTCAGATTCTTATTCCAAGTTTTGTTATCAGTACTCTGAAATTATCCTTAGAAGTTCTGGGAAACTGTTGGCATCAATATGAAGAAAAGAGACAAGTTGGGGCAGAAAGACTGAACAGATCTACTAAGATGCAAAAAGAAGGTCCTAGCAGTTGGCAGAGGTGCTGAAAATCAGTGGAATTGAAGTGCAGAGGGAGGCTTCTAGCCCTCAGGATTTTCCTCCCTGTCACTCTACCCTCAAGTTCCAGAGGAATCAGGCAAGCCATCTAAACAGAAACTATGGCAATGACTCAGTCCTTGAAATACAAAGACAAGGAAGGGGATGAGTCACAGGAAAAGAAGCCCGTTTCTAGAACTGATGTACAGGGTCAGAGCAGAGCCAGCAGGAAGTATTGATGATGAGAACTTCTCTGACTAGTCCCAGTGTCAGAATTAGAATTCAGCCCACAGGGGTTCTGGCTTTCAGAACCAATTTTGTGGATGTGGAAGCAAGAAGGCAAGAGTGACCTTATGTGAGCTCTACCTGTTTTAGGACTAATGCTTTACGGTTACTAATGCTTTATGGTTACTTACTGAAATTAGTACTCATTGACTTCTATTTTGTGTGTATTCTTCTTTCTGAGGAGTCACCACACTGTGAAAAGATATGGTGACTTTGACTTTAGACTTCAATTCAGTGATAGCTCTGTCATTTACTAGCTTTGGAAAATTAAGCAACTTTTAAAACTGTGCCCAGCTTCATCATTGGTAAAATAAGCAAAATGCCATAATCTAGCATGGTTGTTTGAAAATTAAATGAGAAAAAAATCTAAAAGATTCTGAAATGCAATAAATATATACTACATGAGAGTTATTACTTCTTCTTAACTTTTGGGTTTGAGGGTACATGTGAAGATTTGTTACATAGATAAACATGTGTCATGGGGGTTTGCTGTACTTCTAGAAAACCTAGTTTAATTGGCAACCTCTCTAAGTACAAACACCAGCTTCTTGAAATATCTTTCCATTTTTTTGTCCTCATATGATTTAAAATCCAGTTTTGAAATGTCCTCCCCAAAATGCCTTCCTCCTTTTTAGACATTTTGAACAAGGAATAACTCTAAACTTTTCTTTAATATTTTGGTAATCTCTCTAAAATTCTCAGTCACATATGTCACGCAGCATTGGATAAACTTCCTTCGTTGTTAGGAATACAATATATGGTAGATACTATCAAGATTTCAACTTGGACGACTCCAGATAAGGAAAATAGACTTTTTCTGATCACATTGTTTCTGAGAGATGAGACCTGTTAGGAGAGGCAAGCCACAGTGGGTCCCTGCAGGTTGTTGAGTGTGCCAAGAATGCCAGGCTCTGCCTACTCCTTACCTAGCTGATCCTCAGGATTGCGTTTGCAATGAGTGACCTTAAGACATGAGGTATGGTCTTGGGGACAAGGAGCAGGGTTGCTTAGGTTGCTTGGTATTAAAGGATGGGTTCCCTAAGTTCAGTGTTCCTCAACTGTGACATCAACCCACTATGTGTGTAAGTACTCATTCAGGCTCATATTATGCCCCATGAGACCTGGGTAAAAGGGGAACCAGCAGAAACATGTTGAAACTCATGCTACTTTCCATTCATGAATAATAAAGTCCTTTATCTCTGACCCAACCACCTCATATCTTCTGCCAGCATCCATGAAACAGTAACAGGTCAACCTATTAGCCTGTAAGTTCAGTAAAATCAAATCCCAAACTTACAAAGACTGTCTATGAGGCAAGTTATAAAGTTCTTGGGTATTCTGTTTTTAGTATAATGAAACTTCCAGTGGTACATCTAACTGGATCTGGGCTCCTAATGGCTTCTAGTGGCTAATCTCTGTCAGTGTCAGCAGGGAAAATGACAATTAAGAAAAAGGTTCGGGAAGCTTGTAATTCTACCAGATCTCTTTCTACTCTTATGAAAGCTGCTTGTATATGTACAAGAACAAGAAACTTGTCCACTTTTACCCTAAAACTACTATCTGTTTTCCTTCTTTATAACACACAAGATGCTTCACAAGCAGACCCTGCTTATCTTTCTCACAGTATCTCTGGCCACCTGGACTTGTTCTTCTTTCCACCATACTTGCTACAATTCAGCAACTTCTAATTTCCTGAATACCTGATGCTGTTTTATGCCTCCTTACTGTTGTATACTTGTTCCCCTCAGCCTGCCTTGCCTAGCTAGAAAATTCGTATTCGTCTTTCTAGACCCTGAAAATCAGCATTTATGTTTCTGAAATTGCAAGCAGACAATTGTTCTCCTTGCTACAGAACTTTATTACATATACAATTTGCTTACAAACATATCCCAGTTCTACAGCTAGTCATTTGCATTCTTCTCTTCTCCACTGCTCTTAGCTCCTCGACAATAAATAGCACCTGGATCTTATTTATCTTTGCATTGTGAAAGTTGATCATACAAATTGGGTCATTCATGTCATACTCAACTAAAAGTCAAGAAGGTGGGGAGGAATAGCTCTCAGGGTACAAAACATTACTCCAAGAATTTTCATGCCCTACAAAACTGACTCTTGAAACTTCTTGCTATAACTTGAAATTAGTCTTATCTATAGCTTCTGAGGAAACTTGCTGCACTGTAGGACTGATTTTGCCCACCACCATTGCTTACCAATTGGAGCTTGCCAGCTCCCCAAATTCGTAGTAGGGCCAAAGAACTTTCTCCAAGAGCAATATATAACATTTTCCCTTTTTAATAAAACCTCCAACCTTCTCTATTTGTTCTACAGAGAAAGTGCTTTCAGTTTATGCCAGAGACTCTCTCCTTGTTTTGCAAACTGATATTGCCAGTAAAACTCTTTTTTCTATGACAGGCATCTGGGTGGTCCTTTGGACAATAGCATTTAGGGCAGCAAGGAAAATGCCTTGCATATAGGAATGCTCAGTAACTACTTACAAAGTTCAAGTAAAATTTTGTCCTTCCTTGGTACTAATTATAAGGATTAATTCTAGGTAAAACAACTTGCCATGATATTTTGATCTTTTTGCTCATTTTAAAGAATATTGACTTAATAAATATATTGACTTAGGTGTGAGATCATTTACCAGGGCACCACTGCTGAGCAGGATCATGAGGACAATGAAGCTTTCAAACCAACTGTGTTCAACAATCTTGTAGCAGGTTTTCCTGATGTTCCACCAGATTTTTCCTTTCCCTGACTCTATGTTAACTTGACAGCATGAGAATCTTCGTACACAACCTGGCAAGAAAGACATGCATGTTAAATCTTGATATTCAGAATAAATAAAAACTTTAATACATTACTTAATGGAAACTGTTCTCTGTGATACTCCCTCACCCAAATAATTTTAACACCTATATTTGCAGTTTTAGATAGATTTAATTTGGATGCTGCTTTCCTTCATCTCGTAACTTTCCGTGATGTTTTCTTAATATTAATGCTAAGAAAACAGACAAACAGCAAAGGTATATTGTGTTTGGAGCCATTACACTGAATAGCACAAACATTAAAAAAATCCTTTCATTATTCAAATTCTGTTTTCTGATTTGCAAAGTATTGCTTACATCACTGATGAATGAGTGAAGTTCTGACATCTAGCTTCTTCATTTCACTTTTATTTCACTTATTAACATAAATACCAAGCAAACTTCATGTTAAAACTATACTTGTTTATTAGCCGCAATAATAGGTTGCCTATAAATGCAAAAGTTTGGCAACATTCAAAAAAAGCATTCTGTGAGAAACAATTTGATATACAGAATGTGCAATATAAAAGTTGTAATATTTTATATGTAAATTGTGTACCATATATCCTTAATATCAATAAAGTTTATAATAAATGATGTAAGTCTGCACACTTTATTTTCCTTGGAGAACCAGTTTATACAAACATTTACCTGCCCACCAGCGGGACAGGTAGAGGAGAAAACTTTAAAGGAGATAAAATGAGAGATGAACAAGAAGAACCAAGAGGATGCAGTAAAAGAGAAACCGAAGAGTAAAAAGTTTTACAAGCAGTGATAAACAGAGCTATGAACACAAGAGGCCCAGAAAGAAAATGATTGAAAAGTTAAAAAATTCAACTTAATTTAAAGTTGATTAAAGCAATTAGAATTACTTTGAAGTAAAGAAAGACTCTTTAGAAAGTAACTACAATAAATTCCTCCTCATAAAATTTTAGATGAAAATCTCATTTTAGATGAAGGTAGGAGGTAGGAAAGCAGGAATGGGCAGTACTTTTTTGATACATGTTTCAGAAGTTTGAATTTTAGATACTTGTAAAAGACTAATTTCCTCTTCTGTAAAACAATATAATTCATTAACAAGTATTGAGCCTTTCAAGTAACAACTTCAGATACCATAAGTTGTATGTTCTAAAACAACAACACTAGAATCCTCTTGACAAGATGCACCTGGTAGATAATGTTTTGTAATGGATCCTTTCATGTTTCTGAATTCAAATTAGTGCATTGATCCAGTTAATATGAGGTTATTTTCTAGCACTTTAATTTCCAGCTCTATAGAAATACAGCAACCAAGTTATTTCCCTCTCCCCCGAACAACGTCTCTCGTGTTTTTGTTATGTATATTTTATGTGTTCCTGTCCTTTCTCTCTGGAAGGTTCTAAGTTCCCAGAAACCTCAAACTGAGTCTGTAACGCTCGCTCTTTGTGCTTATGGTACTCATCATAGTTCTATACACAGCTTAATAGGTTGTTTGTAGTTATTTTTTAAAAGACTTAATTCCCTTAAAAGAGTTCTATTATCTTCTAAGCAGTTAGCCATAATTTGAAAGGTCACATCTCTGGGAATTCTAGATTTTACATAAGGATTGGCTGAAAAAGAAAAAAAAAAAAAAACAGAGTGAATGGAAAATATACACATAGCTTCATTTATCCAATGTTACTTACAGTGAACATGATCTCAGATCTGAAATTATTTACCATCCTTATATTTAATTATCTTATTATCTAAATGCATTTAGTTAAGAGAACATTCGATAGAATGATATACAGACAGAATAAAAGGGTAGGGTCAAAATTAACTCTGAGTTATCTTTTTCAACCAGAGAAGGAAAAAATGAGATGAATTTTTTTATATTAACTTAGTGCTTTAGAATTTATCTTAAACTTAAAAACAGCGATCACATGCAAGAAAGAGTATGTCTTCCTCAGGTATAAATTATTGGATAAGAAAGTTATCCCTTTGGTTAAGAATATTTTACTCTCTGGGACTTTCTTTTGTCAGCCTTAGAATTAAAGGGAAACATTAGTTTTATGACTGAAGAAATAAAAACACTAAAATTCCTAATTAGAAAAGTGAGTAAACTTTCAATCTAAGACGCAGTTTCATAGATGTTGCCCTCAGGGTTTATCACACCTCAGAAAGTTTCTCTCTCTTATTTTGAGGCAAGAGTGCTCGACCACCTGTCTGGTTTTTGTGCAAAGGTATACCCCAAGAGATTTTCAAACAAGCTGGTTAGCAATGTTATCACACTTTCTCTTTAAAACGACTATTAGTTAAATGTAAACATAACAGAGAAACTTTCAAACATTTTAATGGGTCCCAGTGAGTAAATGCTATTTCTTTTGGGTAGTTTCACTAATATGCTCTCATGATGCATTACATAAAGTCTATGCAGAGTTTCATCATGTTAAACCAATGATCTCAAAAAAAAAAAAAAAAGGAAAGAAAGAAGAAAAAAGAAATCATTGACCACTTCAAAGACAGACTACCCATTAAAAACTATAATAGGATGATCAATATAATTCATGTAAAAATTGATTATGAAAACAAGTTTTTTTCACCATTTCTTAATGTCTAAAGCAACTAAAACAAATATTTGTTAACATTATCTTTCCAAAAGGAAAAAATGTCACAAGGAGTTGCTTATTGTGTTATCAAAGTTAGAATAAATTATTAGTTTTTTATAGGAAGTGCGTGAATACAGAACATTTTGGAGGGAATATAAGTTGGCATCTCCTACCAGGTTAAGACAAACACATTATATTAAGAAAAAAAGGGGTATCCTTCTCTAACTCTAATCCTGTTGATGTAATTTACTAATCAGATAATCTAAAAGCAGCATAATATAAAACCACATAGACTCAAAGGGTCATGTCATGTTCATAATTATACAGGTTGTCAAGACATGTAGAACTAAGGATAGTAAAGAACAGTGCAAGATCTAAGGAAGGAGTATGAAGTCTTGAAGCACAAAGTAATAGACACAGAACTAAGGAACAGCCTGGTATATAAGCGAGAAGAAAAGGTGAATAAGAGGACCAGATTCAATCAACAAAATATATGAGTAAAGTGATAGTTATGAAGCTGAAATGGATCAACGAATCTGAGGCAATGAACAACAAAATCATTTTAACATGTGTCTTCAGTGAAGGAATGTTACTCGGATTTAATTGCTTTTCATACTTCCTTCAATTTTTCTGTTACCTTTCAGGTAACAGAGATTTCCGGGGGTGAAACATTTCTCTGAACTGGCATTGACTCTAGTTCAGTTCTTGTACACCAATTATCAACTTATAAGTAAACATGTTCATGATTTTTCATTTTGACAAGGCTATACTTCTTAGTCTTCATGTGGAAACTATGCACTTCCAGTTTTTTTGGCACCACATGTCAAATCCATCAACATATCCCTTTAGCTCTAACTTCAAAATATACTCAGAACATCACACTGTCACTATAACAAAACTACCATAATACTCTAAGCTTCCATCATCTCTCACCTGGATTTATGCAGAAACTCCTAGAAATCTCCCAGCTTCTGCCATTGCTATTTGCCCTTCCACCCTAGGATTGCACATTGTGAGATTTTAGAATCAGATCCTTATAATGTTCTTCAAAGGTCTCATCATCTGGCCTCTATTAAATCTCTGTTCTATGCTTTTTAAAAATAATGGCATTTGTTTTATTTATGTTTGTTTGTTTTTTGGAGACACAGTCGCACTCTGTCACCCAGGCTGGAGGGCAGTGGTGCAATCTCGGCTCACTGCAACCTCTACTTCCCCGGTTCAGGTAATTCTTGTATCTCAGCCTTCCAAGTAGCTCAGATTATAGGGATATGGCGATGTAGAACTATGTCCAACTAATAGCTTTTTTTGTTTGTTTTTTGCATTTTTAGTAAAGATGGGGTTTTGCTATGTTGGCTAGACTGCTCTTAAACTCCTGGCCTCAAGTGACTGCCCACCTCAGCCTCCCAAAGTCCTGGGATTACGGGTGTGAGCCACTGCACTGGGCCTCTTACCTTAACTTTTAATACTCTTCCCATCTCTCATTATTCTCCATCTATATTGGCCCCTTGGTTTTCCCCAAATGTTATGCATGTCCTCACCTCAGGGTAATATGTGCCTTCATTACTCTGCCTAAAACACTTTTCCTCCATGTATTTGCATGGCCCCCTTCAATTTTCTTTAGGTCACACACACAAAAAGTCACTTTTATAGACAGGCTTTCTTTGACCACTATATTTATATGCTAGTAAGTTCTTCCCCCTTACTCTTGGTATTCCTCATTTCCTCATACCTTCTCCGTAGCACTTTTCACTTATCTGACTGCTACATCTCAATACGTTTCTTCAGCAAGGGGCATTGTTTTGTTCAGAGCTCTATCTCCTTCCAGTGCCAAGAACTGGACCTGGCCCACAAGTATTTAACAATTATTTGTTTATTGGAATAAAGAATGCGTACGTGAATATATGGTTGAAAGGTTGATCAAATTGACTGCTCTGTTGAATTTATTAGGCTAGGCCTCTTAACCCAACAGATCCAGAGACTATATGAAGTCCCTACTAGAGCACATGAAAGGGATGTCATTGGGAGAGATATACTCCCTCAGTAAACGTCAATGGTCCAAGCCAAGGTTCATTGGAAAATGTATTTCCATAATATTTCTTCTATACTGGCCTCAATTTGGAAGTAATAAATAAGTTCAAAGTAATAACAAAAGTATTTCATTTATAGGATTAAAAAGATTTTTTGTTATATCTTAGTTAATTAGCACCTACAGCCTGAAACAGCATAGTATTAATACTTTATGCAAGAGTTTAAGTTTTTTGAAGTCATTTTTTGGTCTGAAACTTTAAGTTGTTTGATAAGCCCAACTTCTTTCTCATTATTCAAGAATTTTAAGTTATGGCCATTGATAAAATGAATAGGAAAACTCTTGGTAGCATCAGTACAAATTTAGGTCTATATACTGCTAATCAATTTCTTGAGGAACAGGCCATACATGTTGATGGAATTCTTAAATCCCTGTACCATGAACACTCTTAATGGAAACTCTGCATTTACTTATAGCACTAATTTAGCAAGCATAAAATTTATATTGACTGGATGCCATACTCCTTTGCTCCTTACATAAAATGATATTTAATGTGTATTTAAAGAAAATCCATGCATTCATTGTAGTTTGCAGTTGTCTTCATTTTCCAATCATTTTGCTTAATGCATGAGTGTTGTAAGAGACCTGAGAAAATCTTGGAAACTGAAAGCAAGTCTATGATTTTTCAAAAAAATACAAATGCTGAGGGTAAGCCCATGACTAGATAAATCATTAGCATCTACTCTATCATAGCTTCTGTATAAGATTGTTAACAGAATCCCTGAAGAATAAGGAAAGTAGAAGAAAGAAGATAGTCACTGTGCTAGTAAGTTTATAATCATTATCTATTTGATCCTCCTAGCATCCCTGTGATGAGGATGCTGTTATCCCCATTTTACAGATAAGATAGCTGAAGAACAAGATTTTAAAATGTACACAAGTTCTCACAGGCGGTTAGTAAGTACGCCATTTAGAACGTATGTTTATCAGGCTCCAAAGTTTGGACTTTGTATTATTGTATTAAATTGCAGCCCTATTCTAGGCTTGTGATTTACCTAGATGATATAATACTTTTTCATACAGTGCTGCATCATATCTGGCAAATTCCAGGAGTAGTAAGAAATTCAGTATATCAGAAAGCAAAAAGGAATAGAAGGAGGTACTGTTAAAAAACAAGAGACTAAGGCCAAATGTAAAGAACCTTATATGTTAAGGACTTCAGACTTTATCCTATAGGCCAAAGATTCTCACATTTTAGTGTGCATCACGGTGCTCTTGAGGGCTTGGGCCCTATCCCCAGAGCTCCAGATGAACTTGTGACTAGTAAGGAAGATTAAATGGCTCTCTCAAAGTCTTTAGCTTGAGTGGTAAGATCGATCATGATGTTACTAATAAAGACTGGAGGAAGCTGTAAACCACACTAAAGCTTTTGTTTTTATTTTTATTTTTTTTCAAGAAAACGTTATTAGTCTTGGAATGTTTTAATGACAACAAATGACGATGGCCAATGCTGAACTGTAAGTAGATCTGGGACTCAAGAGTGAGGTCAGGGGTAAAGACATTGATGTTAAGAGTAAATAGCACAGAAATGGTTTTTCAAGCCCCAGGCCTGCATGAGACACCTTGGAGCTTCAGAATAAAAAAAAAATAACTGAAGATTTAAAATGTAGAGAGAAATCATTATTTATATGATGTGCAGAAAAAATACTCATTAAAGAAATTAAGAGAGGGGCTCAGAACTCTAAGTCAAATAAAAGAACAAAGCTTTGAAACCAAGTAAAGGAAGAATTTTGAGAGAGACTGTGGTCAACAGTATTGGACAGTTTTCTGAGAGTTAGTGAGTAGATTCCATTTTTGATTAAAAGAACAAAAGTGCGATCTCTTTCATTAACTTGCATTCTAGTGGTTCCATGGAGCCGGGAATATGAATTAAGGCTCTAAAATAAGTAGAGTGTGCTTACAGTATAACAAACTGATAGAAAATTATTGTTAGTCAAGTGCCACAGAAGTGGAAACTGAAGCTTAGAGAGCTCTAGGGACTTGCCCTTAATCATCACACAGCTATAACTGAATAAGCATGGATTGGAGTCTTCTGACTTACCAACAACCACTTGTAATTAAAACAAAACCCAAAACACTAATAAAGGGATGCTAACCAAGCTTTCAGTTTTTGTCTTACCATCTGTAAAACAGGCCTCTGGCTCATCGGAATTCACAGGTTCAGCCTCTGCTTCTTCTCCTTCTCCAGGCAAAGGGTTATCAACTGTGCTGCACTCTGAGGAGCTTGATCGGTTTAATCTCTAGAAAGGAATTCACCACCCCACCAGGTAGTTCATTTAGAGTTCATTCAAATCTAGCATTTAAGTCTTATTTAATAATCATAGTCATGCAAAGTATTATAAAAAATATTAATTGTATGATGGCCATAAAATATGTATAAACACATATTGAGGTCAAATAACCTTAAATGTATCTATACTTGATCTATCTACACCATCCTGTAAAATAATAAACTTTATTATGTTTATTATATGAATAAGTATGTGGCCAAAATTATATAAGGTAATATTTTGATGTTAACTATGACTTTGGAAAGCATTGGCCACATCTTATTATTTTTAAAAAATTTTAATATATATTTATAGACACTGACAGTAATTATTTAAGGACAACCTATACCTTATTTGCAATACCATACAAGTATCAAATTACTAATGCCTGATAATTGGAAGCTCTGTTCAAATAGTTGGCAAAAAAAGCTTGTTCATAGTTAAATTTTTTTTAAAAAGATGAGTGCAAGATAAAGTCCAAATGTATTTTTTATTATCTCTTGGATTTAAATATGTGTAGCAGGATGATATAGATAGAAGTTATTTGATCAAGACCAAAAAATCAAATACTGTTTGGAATCAAAATGCCAATGACATACCAACACCACCCATTTTGTACATAACATTTTAGCATATAGTAGAAAAGATCAAACAGTATTATTTATAATGTCAACAGAGTGGCTACTAAAGTAAGCACCACATGCAAACTCTGAAACAAAGATTGAAGAAAATTAAACATGGCAGACTTACACATGGAGTAATGAATTCATTGTCATTATGATCATATAACTGATCATAACACAAATAAGTTTTTCCCACCCAGAACTTTATGAGTAACCATGATGTTTACACATATACACACATGAAGAAATCTTTACAAAAAATACATACAGCAATTGCGGCACAACTCTGTCAAATTTCCCAAATATTGTTTTATAAAGGAGTAAAGCAACATATCAATGGAAGAGTTAATTTTTCATTCTCGTTTGCTAGATGACTTGTGAATATTGAAAGCTACTAGTTACTACAACACATGATTCTCTTATTAAATTACAATTTTATCTTTTTTTGAAGTAGTTCAAGCAAGTGCAATTGCTAAAAATAATAAAATACTTATTTCAGATAAATTGATTCTCAATCTATGAATTTGTATTAATATCATAGGCCCAATCTAAAGGTTTGATTTTTAGAGATTGATTTGGAAGCTAGAAGTATTCTTGATGGGTACCACACTAAATTCTCAATGCTATTATTATCACCTAGTATATAATAGCATAAAAATGGCATCGATTAAGTATCATACATAAGGAATGATGTAAGAAAAGTCTTTTTTATAACTGGAGCAAAGAATTATGAACACCCTATTAAATGAACTCCTCTAATCTGTGTTGGCCTAAAGGAATAATAGAAATTAATTATAATATTCTATAAAACTATGGAATAGGTTTTAAAATATAAACTATAGAGTAAGTTTTAAAATATATACAATAAGTTTTAAAATACAGATTAATCCAGGAAATGATGTTGGAGAAACTTATAACTGCTAATATGTGTTTTATGCCAATTACGACAAAAGCCAAAGTGCCATATTTGGAAGACTGCAGCTTTAATGGCTTCAATTTTGACCTCTCAGCTACACATGAACTGTCACCAGGGAACTAAAAGACAAGGCCCTGTTATTTTGTGAAGTTGCAACTAGGCCCTTCAACTCTGAAAAAAAAAAAATTTGTTGGCATGGATTTTGAGGTAAAAGAGTGGAGGAATTGCTCACAGAAAGGATAGAAAGCACACCCCTGCTATTAGACACATTATTAACAATAGGATATGTTTATAATGGTTTTCTCTGAGCTGGTAACAACTTTTAAATAAAATGATTCTTATTTGCAGAATTCTGACTTAGGCTAAATTCATGAAAGCATTTTCAACATCAATAATTGGTTTTCTCACTGTTTAAGAGAGCATTAACAAAGATTTATGCCAAACTAGGTTATGAACAAGTAGAAATTCGGATGACTTTATGTAGTGTATCTTGCCATTAAAATCTTTTTTTTTTTTTCATATGCAGGTTTTTTTCTTCCTTTTGTCAATTGATTTCAGCTTGGCACAGAATTTTGCAATGTAAAATAAACTTATTCAATATTATTGCTTAATGGGACAGAAATCAAAATATTTAACATGAATTATAATTAATTAATTTGTGTCTACAGCCAAATTATTACAGCTAATAGATTTTTATGAATTCAGTGTTTTTTGGGAATGCATTAAGTAATCAAACAGTAACTATTTTAGTACTGTATATAAAATTAAATATTTATATATATGCTCTAGCAATATAGACAGTTCTAATCAATTCAGCCTTTGAAATCTATACTTGCTAGAGTATAAGCTTCTTTAGCAGACTTCTAAGAGAATGCCTTTATATAGAAAGGCTGATATCTATAATAAAGTGTTTTTTTCTTGTGGTGAAATATATTGAATTCTCACAGTAGGCATCACCATATTTAAGTATTTGGAATTTTTTTACCATACAGGAAAGATCATATCAATTGTTTGTATTGTTTTATATGATTAATTTCAATATTATTTTCATTTCTTTAAATTCAATCATTGGTGGTTTAGTTTTCCATGTAATTTTGGAAATGAAAGAATAACTATACTATATTAAGAGAAGTAAAATAAATACTTTGGTATGAAAAACTTTATTTTTGCTATTCTAAATAGGACCTTTGCCATTCTAAATAGGATCTAATTTTCACACGGATCTGATTTTTAATAAAAAGAGAAAAATCATTTTTTTATCATTTGCATCTACTTATAAACAGAATAAAAATAACGGGAAGCATAGAATCAAGAAGGTGGAGTCAACAGTATTAGGAATCAGAAGTGTACCATAATTAGCATTCCTGCCTTTTGTTGAATAATATGATTTTGACTGTAAGTGCCTCCTAAATACTATCATACATTTAAAGTGTATGAATCAACTATATCACTTTCATATTTTAAGAAGACATTGAAAGTGATATAGTTGATTCAAACATTTTAAATATATAATAGTATCTACAGTGTAAAATAAAAGTTCCCTCCAGTATCTCCTTCATACAACTCCCTTGAGGTAACCAAAGGCGGGTGAGGCGGGGAGACAGAGAGACAGAGAGAGAGTTTGGCATATCATTCCATATTTTTCAGTGTGCATTCATACAACACTATAGCTGTGAAACAATCCTTATCTTGATTGTGAACTTATGTAGCTATTTAAGATGCTCATTTCAATTACTGAAAATATATTCAAATTAAAAGCTTTATTATTCTTCATGGTTTTCCTTTTGATCGGCTTGAAGCTATGTTTTCTACTATACTGCTTGAGTAGGAATTATGTTAAATATAGGTATCATATGAGAACATGTTCTAAGTTGTTCACTTACAAATTTATCACTGGCATTTCCTAAGATAGGCATTAATGATGTAAGCCTATTTCATGCTATTATGGATGTGGTTAATGCTGATCGGTTATTTATTGTTTCAAGAAGTGTGAAGTCAGAGTGTCTAATGACTTGATAATCTAACATTCAAAAGAAGAAAACTATCAAACATAGTAGCACTGTACAAAACACAGAACTGGACAGAAACCTTACTCAAAGAGGATGACTGATGCTGAAAAGAACCCACAAATGTTACATTTAAAGTACCTACTATAAACGCTTTGCTTCACACAACAAGATGTTCTTTAAGGAGCAGAGCCTAGAATAGTTATTTCACCTGAGCCTTAAAAGAAAGACACACAAAGGACAATAAGAAGGTTGAGATAAGCAAGTCAAAAGGAGATGGGTATGGAAGCCATTAGTGGTAAACTAAGCTCCATTATCTCTTAACAAGCAGTAAAGACATTTTAAAATTGGTTTCAAGTTATTATTATCCATCTTTTCATTTAACTGCCTAATTTTATAGTCAATGTCTATAATTGTGTTCTTGAATCATTAAGGAGTAAAATACTAAAATTCAGTTAAAGGATCAAAGGATGCTTTGAGAAGAATTCCACACATAGTTACTATGTGGCATAACAGTCCAATGTTTTCCAAGGTTCCCATTATGTTACAGGATGACTAGATGTTTAAATACTCTTTTCTAGTGTAGAACCAAAATAAGCTTTCTACTCTCTTGCAATCAATTGGGGCTTTTTTTTTTTTCCTTTTGAAGAAATGCAAACATTATCTTCTGATACAGCTTTTAAAATTGGAGGTCATTAATGTTATCATATGTGCTTTTCATCTTGAGTATAATGACTTTTTTTAATAATAAAGAAAACATTGCTTAAAATTAATGAAAATATGATTATAATAACATTCAATTAAAAATATCAATAGAGAAATATAAATTTTTTTTAACATGACTTAGATTTCTGGGCCCCTTGAGGTCTCTGCAATCTTTTGTTTGTCATGAAATTTCTCAAGATTTTTTTTTAAAAGGTAATGCCTCAAGTTAAAAAATATGTCACTAAAGATCAGGAATTTCAAGATAAAAATAAAAACAATTTAAAAATACTCCAGATATTATTGATCAGTGTAAAACTCACTCAAAAGGAGGAGATGTGTATAAAAGAGAAGGAAAGTTATGGCAGAAGCAGGAAAGACATTTTAAAATTAGTTTCAATTTTATCTGTATTTTCTATTATCTAAATTTTAACGTTACTTACACTAATTTAGCAGAAAATAGTTTATTAACTAGTTGCAATAAATTCTGGGGTCACATTCTAATTATGGGCAACTAAAACTATAGTTCTTTTTTAAAAAAAAAAAGGCAAGAAAACATTTTTTCTTTCCTAGTTTTCTTTGTTTATTGCTAGCAGATAAATATTGTATAGGCTCTAGGAGGAATAGCTACCCATTCAGCACAAAACACACAGTTTCATCACAAGGCCAACATGATATATAGTATCCTGTTGGTGAAATAATGAGGTCAAATCTCAGCTACCA